GTGTTGTCTACATATCCTGGTCATAATTGTGTCACTTTAGTGCAAATTAGTTGAAAGATCAACTTTCCGCCTAAAACCTAGAGTTTCGCTTTTCAGCCCGAGCCCGAGCAGGCCCGAGGCCTGACCTGAGTTCGGGCCGGGCTCGGGCCTCATTTTGGCGCTCAGCTGTCGGGTTCGTGCCGGGCTCGGGCTTCTTTTTTTTAAATATGTTTCTTTTTTATTATTATTATAATTATTTTTAAATGATTTTTATACATAATGATATGCATATATATATATATTAATAACAATGTCCGTTGATTGACAACAAGTTATTAAAAAATGTTAATATATTAATGACACCGTAACCAGCGTGTCCTACAGCAGCAGCGAGCCGTGAACGCATCATCCCCGTGTCTCCTGCTGCATTCTGTGGTCAACAGCGAACAGGAACAATAGTACAAATGGATCAAGTGGAGACAAAACAAATTCAAAAGTGGAGACTAAACTTGCAATTGGAAGGTGAGTGCGTACAACAAGGAAATCAGATGTGTCGGGTTCTGGGTTCAGGCTCGGGCCTGTTATACAGCGTTCATTGGTCGGGCTTATACAGGCTCGGGCTTAACATTAGCGAGCTCGGGCCGGGTCGGGCTTCATTTTTCAGGCCCGAACGAAACTCTACTAAAACCGTCAGTGAGGCGCCATCTGCAGTGACCTTTATTTACTAAATTTGAATTTTGAATCTGGTTCCAACATTGGCGCAGCAGTGATACTTGACGTTTGCAGTGATACTTGACGTTTGCAGTGAAGGCTGACAGTCAGTTGCCCTGCCGCCCAGTGAGCGTGAACGGCCCAGTCTCGTTCACGCCCCCCTAGCGAAGGAAGGAAGGAATAGCAGAGAGTATTGTCATAGATTGTCAGGTTTGCGATTAGTTATAGCATTTAGGTAGGTTTTTTTTATAGCATAGCTCTTTGTATTATTGATAATTGTGTTGTGTTAATAGCGTTGTTGTTGAATATTGTAGTTTTAGTCACTGTTGCTTTTATTGTCAAATGTCAATCACAGCCTAGACCCGCCCAACATTCACCTCCCCCTTGCCTGTCCCCTTTAGTCCTCCAGGCTACGGCCATTTGGAGGAAGAAATGAACAGGAAATGTGCGTGACATAAGCCTCGAGGAGCAGGGGCGAGAAGTTCTTTTAATCTTATAAAGGAAAGTATGGAACTGATTTATACCACCCTATTAAGACAAAAGAGTAAGTAGAGTAAGTGGACACGTAGGTTTGTTGACTGAATAGACTTAAGACATAATCAGTTTAAAATAATGACCTTTGCTGTCACACTTTCCAGTTGTCACAAAACCTTCTCATGAGTCCAAAATGACAAAATGAGTAAATGTCTTTTACAGCCTCACTCGCGTTCCGGAGCAATTTGGGTTGTAGGTATCAGCAGAAGCATCAGTCCAGTTGTGTCCAGAGCCAGAGAGATCAGGCAGGGTGCACGATTCTCATATGGAAAAGATGTACTAATACATTTTATAAAAGTTTTATAGTACTTGCTTGAAATGTATAAATTACACAACAGTCAAACAAAATACACATTCCATAGAAAGATTGTAAACTCCAAATTATACATAGAAAACCATGTTTTAACATTATATAAAAAGAATGTAAGATTTGTTTGAATATCATAGATGATCACAGTCAAATTCAACACAAAGTTCATAGTAATATTTTATATGTTGAATTGTAAATCGAAAAGCATGGAGAAAGAATGCTCCCACTGAAGCCTGCTGTTGTTGTTTCCATGGGCAAGATAGATCAAGGCTATGCTGTGTACTGTGGACTCTCCACCTGCAGGAGCATCAGTGAGGGGCTAGTGCTATGATAAGATAAGATATACCTTTACTCGTCTCGCAGTGAAGACATTTTATGTGACCCTGATATAAAAGGAAAACGTACTTGTAGTACTGTAGGTACAAGGACCAAAAGTAATGTGATGACTCATCATTATGAAGAACTGCTATTTCACCCTTATTACACACTTATTACATTATTACACACGTATTACATATCACATTCATCACAAATAGGCTTGATGCCGTGCAACAATAACATTTAGCGCCTGATTGCGACCCAGTCGAGGCTTAGCGTCTTGCAGCCATGACACCAGTACCTCTGCCAGCATGTGACATCAACAGTTAAGATTCAGGAGGGAGGGGCAAAAGTAGCACATAGCCCCCTCTTTATAGGGAGGAATTTTGGCCCAAAAATCCAATTCTATTACATCTGGATGAAGATTGACAGTAGCAGTTGGTGTCAAAAATGGTGCAATCTGAAGTTGTCATTGTCCTTTAAGAAATGGGCTTTAGGATTTCAGGAGGCAAAAGTAGTAGAGACATTTGCATGTGGGTAAGTAATACATGGATTTTGTTGATATCTAATTTTACAATTTTGACTAGCGCGGGCATTACAGGCTTAGGTTGTTCAACTCTATTGTAAACAAGAGGTCAAATTAATAGTCTCCAATGATTTTTTAAGTCATTAGAAAACAAAAAGGGACTAATAATGCAACTATATTTTGAACATTTGTATATGTATTATATGTATTTATATATATATATATATATATAATCTATATTAGTGTCAGGGTGTTTCATTGTGAGCGCAGTCGCTGCTCACATAAACACTCGGAGGCTGCGCCGAGAGAAAGGGGGGCTGCGGCTCCGGCTCCAGACACTGAAGATCTCCTCCACTATCTCTACACACGCTCAGGCCTAAACAGTTTATTTCGTGTTTGCAGTCACTTCCTCAGGGTTGTTAAGCTGATGTACAGTTTGACAGAAATGGAAGGAAACCAGATCATCGAAGCAAGATTGTTTTAACCAGATAAGTAGAGACGGGTACATTAGTGAGAAAAATGGACAAAACCCTAATAGACTGGGATTAGTCTGCGGCAGTTTGCTCCAGTCAGATAGATGCCACATGCTGCTGTCTTCTGTGAGAGCATGTGATAATATAATCGTATCTAGTAGTTGGACAGATCCGTCTCATTACTTATGATCATTGTTTTGCATTTTGTGAAACTGCATTTTTATATATATTTAATCTTTAACTTTATTGGATAACACTAGTGCAATGCCTATAATAAGTATCTAATAGTAGTGAGCTTAGTGATTTTAAGTCAATAATAAGTTTTATAAGATGTTTTTCAAAAAGTCCTGCAATTTTTGTTCTGTATTATTACTTATTTTTGTCATTCTAGGCAGTGTTTTTATAGCCTTTGCAAATTGCGACCTCTTATAGCCCCAATAATTCTGTTCTTTTCTGTCTTCAACAGTTGACATTTCAAGTTTAAATGTATATATATTTTAATATATTTTGAAAATATTTCGCATCTATTAAACATTTTCAACGAGATATAAGAAAGGCATGATTTGAAGCCGTTTTTTTTCCTGTGTTTCCTCATACCATTCTATTGTTGGACAAACTTATGGTGACACATGAGAGATATTGATAACCTTTCCAAGTGTGGAGGATCCAGCGGCTTAGCAGTGTTTACATCTAGTAGCATGCAGGGTACATCTGCTCTTAATGACTGGAATTAATAACATACTGACGCCTATGAGACAGCTCTGTTTACGTGTAGGCCCACTGGGTAGTCTGCGGCGTAAAAGTGTCGCCCCAACCACAATGATTTTAAGACTTAACGGCACATTTGAGGATAACGTTGTGTCCTTATTTATTTGGCTTTTGATACTTTTATATTTTAACCTCGTAGTATAAAGATTTTTGCAATGTTTTGTTTACGTTTCTCTATACAACAATAAATCTCAGTGCATTAGTTCTTAAAAGTGTTGTTATGTTTGGATTTGAGTTTGCTTCTCCACTTCTCTATACTGCTACAATATGGACCTGTTTTCTGTTTTCAGTCTGCCACGCTTTTCTTGACTTTAGATGAGAGCATCCCAAGTTTAATATAAGAGTTAAAGAAGCAACTTGTCACTTGAAATGAGAAAAACACTGCATTTATAGCCTTTTTTCTTCCCACAGTGCGGATATTACAGATCAGTACAAATCCAAGGGGCACTCAAAACAAATAGCTTAACAAATATTATTATATAAATAATCAGAACAATTATTCACTTTTTCTTTGTGTGCATGAGCGTCCTTCATACTCATGCACACACCTACACACTCCAAGGGGCATGAGAACAGACTAAATCCTTGACAAGCTCAATGAAAGCTCACACAAAGGGTAAAACTCAGGGGAGACTAGAGAAATGCTACACCGTACAGTAGCCTGACCTCCTCCAGAAAACAGACACATGCACCATATACTGGGCGTTGCCACATTTGCACACAAAGACAGAAATAAAGACTGCGGCTATTGCTTTCACCAGCAGACCCCCAGGTGACCTTGCTGACTGACCCCTGGGTGACCCGGCACTGGGGAAGGTGAGAAGCAGCGGGCTGAATATCTGTGACACCAGGGGCACTTGGATAATAGTGAAAAAGGAACTTTTGCACTAAATCAACTGACGTGACAAGCCTTGTTGTTATACTTGAATCTCACAAAGGTCCAAATCTTTTTCATCTTGACTCTGAACTACTGTAGCCCCAAGTCTTTGGTCATTCACATACTTTTCCTTAACATTCTCCTCGTTCAAACTAGTTATTCCAGGTACATGGCCCCAGGGTGATAACCCTTTACGGTTTCAATGAGGAATGTGTCACTATATCACATGTCTGGCAGTGTCATCTTGAGGTCATTTAAAGGATACCTTTAATTATTAGTAAATGTATAACTGCAAATAACTTTGAGTTATGGTTTGTTTTAAGATTTACCATTTTGTACACTGCACAGACTGTCTGACAAACTTGCCATCTTAGCTCAAGAGTAAACTCTTATCTCATGTGTTTACTTTTAGATGTGTGGTAGTTAACCCGGCAAGAGTTTTACAATAACAGTAGTATAAATCTACCTTATTATCTTTGTCACGTGACACTGTTTCTTTCACAGTCGATCTGGAGCACTTGCGGACAGTGAAGTCTGACAAACACCAGCGCTTCTGCCAAGAGAACGGCCTCCTCAGCCAGTTTGTGTCAGCGAAGACAGGCGACTCGGTGAGTTCAGCAGCGCTGCGCTGCTAAACAAGGAGGATGGTGTTGCTTCATTCATTGTAAATTGCTCTTTGTCCGTTTCAGATACATCTTGTTTTTCAAAAGCTGGCTGCTGAGATCATTGGTATAAAACTCAACAAAGCTGAGATTGAGCAGTCCCAGGTCAGACATATCCCTGAGCTCAAATGTCTGTTTCATATGTGTGTAATGACTTGGTTCATGAGATATTGTTATCTAAGGGTTGTGTTTTCGAATCTCAATTCCTGGTTAAATAAATATGATATTTGATATCAATATGTGTAAATTGTGGGAAATCACAATATGATTGTGATATAACATATATTGTTATAGCCCTTTTTATTATTTCATTGTAAAAGTTTTGTAATTCACAAAACGTTTTCAAATTAGTTGAGACATGGTAAAGTCTTGACTGCCGTAATAATTGATGCCTTCCCACAGTCTGTAAATGACCCTTTCCTGAGTCAACATGAGTTTGTTGCCTTTTTTTCCTGTTGTGATGCCGGTCATCTGTAAATAGACCCAGATTGAGCACATTAATGCGTGAAGTGAGGTCAAAGGTAGGCCGCTTTGGGGGTGACAAGGTCACAGCTTCCTCAGCCAGCAGACAGGGGTGCCCAATATTGACAGCTGTAGGATTTACAGGCTCACCTCCCCCAGAGGCATTAATCCTGCTCTGATATGGGCCTTGGAGCCAAACTGGCTGGGCAGGGGAAGAGGAGCGTGGAGGCTCAGCAGAGGTCAGGACTCTCGAGGAAGGGAAAGCATGTAAAGAGAAAAGAGCAGGCAAATTCTCAAGACCCTCTCCAATCAGCGACACGACTCCTGACTGACCGGGAATGCACACAGACTAATGGAGCTGTCTGTCTCATGGCCATTTCCGCTCCGCCCTAAAATCTTTGTCACTGTGCTCAAGTGTTTTAATCCAGTCTACTAGTGATATGCAATCATGGACAGAAACTGTTAGAATGTGTTGTATAGAATTGTATTTGTATTGCATTTTTCTCCCCCAAACAACATAAGCTGCTCAAAGTGTTGCTTATCATGAGGAGGTAAATTTTGGGATTAAACATGTTTTCAAGTTATGGATAACATGCCATAGCACAGTTGCAAACCTTCCAACCTCCCATTAATTTGAATAGACAAAATAGACCAGCAATGACCAGGTGACCTGTATGAGGTTATGAACTTGGATGGGTCTCCAGGACAAATAGAAATGTGAATCAGGCCCTATGTGGCTTAAGGGCCACAATTTACCCAGGTCTACACAAACTTGTGTTGAAGTATTGAGCCGTAACTCTGAGCAGGTCGTGGCTTCAGGTTTAGCCCTTGGCCAGTGATGCCTCATTATCAGTTGTCGGGGTGAGTGAGGGGAACATGTAGGTCCTGACCCCTGGCAGTATTATATGTGCCTGGCAGTCTGATCCGTCATGGTTCTCTGTCTCCCAGATCAGATAGCGAGCTGTGCGCTCACTGGCTGCAAAGCACACTTCGACACCTTGTTTGTCACAATTAAATCCTGCATTATCAGCAAATTTGTACACATACACCACTTAATAATTTTAATCTGAACGGCAAGCATAGTCTCACTTGAGCATCACTTTTGTAATGGTGACTGAAGGTTGGTTTTTTGGTTTTCTGGAAAAGCCAGAGATGCATCCCTCCTTTCCGATACCATCAAAAGACAAACCGCAAAAAAGATACCCTGAGGTCACTTTCTGCTTAAAATAACAGCGAGAACAAGGACAGCACTGATCACAAATACAGCCCTTAGTCCTTCTGGAGTAGCTGTAGGCCTCCACAGCTCACCTGGGAGAGTCTATGCATTGGACCAGTACAGTGCCTTGCTAAAGTGTTAAGTACAGCTTGAACTTTTTCTGCACATTTTGTCAGGTTATGACCATTAAAACAATGTTATGTAGGATTTTCTTTTTTTATGAAAGAGCATAAAAAGGGACAGACAACTGAAGTGAAAGCAAAATGATATTAAAATAATAATTATATTCAAAAAACAAAAAAGGGCCACATAATTGACCATATAGCATTTCTCTAAAACAGCCTTTGGAAATGTCCTAATGTAATGACTTAATGCTCACATCTTGCCCTAACAACATGCCCATAAGCTTCTTCAAGCAGGATACTGGTTTGGCAATGGGCCTGTACCATTATGTTATTCTCCACTGTGTGTCTACTCCTTAAAGCTTGCCTTTACCTTCATGCGTTTCTTCATTCTCTCTCCCAGTCATTGCATGTAATTTGTATGTTTTTTTATTAAACATAACCCACTTCTTGAATGTGCTTTTCAGAGGATTGTCAAGGCTAGTTTGGTGGATTATCCTCAAAATGAAGGCCTGAATAGAGACGAAGGGGTTCCACACCGAAGCAAAATCTGTTCTGTTCAATAGGCGGAACAAAAGTATGTCTCAATAGTACTTTTCCCTCAAACCCTAATCCATAAAGTTGGGCAATGTGTAAAAGGTAAAGAAAACTTTGATAAACTTTAATAAATAAAACATTATTTTCAATAATTTCTACATGGTTACGTAGATTCACCAAAATAGTGCGCTGTTTCTGAAATGTGTCAGATCTCAGTGGCTTGTAATTTTTCTATAAACTCTTTAATGGAAGCAAGTACTTTACTGTGTAAATAAGAAATGACCTAAATCCTGTGTGTGTATAGACTTGACCTTCATCAGTATTAAGATGTTTGGAATGACAGGTGACAGCCTTTAACAAATATCCTCATTCAGTTGTGTAAAAAGAGGGAAAGCCTAAATAAATGGCAAATATAGTAAGTTGTCATTCCATTTATTTCTCTTCTGCGATAGTAAAAACAGATTTGTCATAAGACTTAATTTCAGTCACGTTGTTGCTGCTGCAACAATAGTATCCCAATTGAAGGGTCTCTTGTTTACAGTACTTGCTGGACTATATTACCTCTCCGGTATATAAACCGCACCTGCTAAATCCGTAAATAAAGTAAACTTTGTTCACCTATAGGTCACACTTGAAAATAAGCTGAAGATTTTTATGTTGTATTGTAACACTTATCCATTAGCTGATGGAGCAAAACTAAGATGATCACAACACGATTTAATGATGAGGTGTTTAAATGTTGTCTCGTGATCAATAATCAAAGCTAAAGTTTCATAACATAATTATTTATCTATTTAATTTATTTAAAAGAGGGACCTTGCACTATTAGAGCATACATTTTTCCATTTGATGCATTGTACCAAAGTTAGACTTTAGCTAAAAATGAAACAGTAACTGACGTTGGCACACTTACCTTAACTGTTAGCTTTGATAACAGGACTCATTTATCCTAATAAATATGCGTCCTATAGCCACTAAAACTTGATGAGTCAAAAAGATAATTCCCTGCTGTTCACATAAACACAAGCAACAGCTGACAGAGTTGTATTTTTCGTCAGTGCGCAAGGGGATACTCCAACTCAACTGCTACACAGGCCACAGGGTTCAATAGTCCGGCATGTTCCAACTTAAAAATGTAATGACGTTTCAAAATACTACCAATACAAATGATACATGCTTTTTGTATTGTTACTCATTAATTATGAGCTACAGCATTTGCCGTAATATTTTAAACCATTTCTCATTTCACACCAATTTTACTTTATTTCATTCCACAAAGCATTCTGTTTTTCTCCCATTTTACACATTGTCAGAACTGTCAGAGTCGCTTCGTAGACCCTCTCCAACATAGTCCAATCCATCGTTCTCGCCTAATGCTGGATCCAGGCCCTGTGTTTTGCTGACTAAGTAGTGACGCAGTTAGAAAAACCTACTCGGCTCCGTCCTCCCACTCTCCCGACCTCCTGTCTGCTTCAGGGCAGAAGTTCACAAACATCATGACTGTGGACTCCTAAATCACTTGATGGCTCTCTGCTTGAATGCCAAAATCTACTTGTGTATCACCTTTCCACCTATAACTAATTGTATAATTATGGGCTGTTATAGTTTGTCCTCCATAGATAGACTTCCTGACTCTAGAATATATAGATTAGTGAATTAGTTAAGTTTGAAATGTTCATCTGAATTTGAGTGTTTTTGACAAGTTTAACTTAATTTTTAACAAACCTTCCTGTCCACAAGTGAAAATTTGATTTTAAGACCTGATTGTTTTTTTTACCTGACAGTTGTCTGCTGCCGTGCATTCACTCTGAGGAAGTAGACAAAACTATCAGGGACGACTTGTTGAATCCCACAGAAGACCCAAATGATCAGCAGATACACATTTTATAAATGGGACAATCGAATGATACCGATATGATAATCTGTTAACCTGTTCTGGATTGAAGTACACATTCATTGGTCCTAACAGTTTGTTCAAACGTCCCACTGCTGTTGGGAGAATAGAGGACATACATCTAGTCTTGTTTTTCCCCAAACTTGAAAACTAACATACTGTAACAATGTTTTAATAATGTATAGATTTTACGGGATTTACCTATACTAAAACACTGGACTGTTGGCAACATAAAAGGTTCGGAGTCTTTTGTAATACCTACTAAGCCCCACAGTTTCTGTTTGAGTCTCTGCTATTACTCACTTTCTCACATTTCATTTCTCACTGCACTGCAATGAGTTTATGAGAAATGTTCATCGCCTAGAGCAGGTTTTGCTGTCAAAGTAAGCCAGCCAGAGCTCAATAGCTGAGGGTCTGGTAGCACCACTCCTCTAGCAGATTCCCTTCAGTCACTTTACCCCAAGGCAACTGTGGCTACAATAGCAGCTCACCACCACTGTGTGTGGAGTGAGTAATACACAGAATTGCAAATAGTTGGGAAGCATGTCTATGAAAAGTGCTAAATAAATAAAGATGACTTCACTTGCTTACGGTTCTCTCTCTTTTTGACACCAAGAGCTGCTTTTTACTACATTGGGTTATGGGTACAACCATGGTCTTTAAAGAAAATATCATGTTCTGATGGCAGAGCTTTCACGTGACCAGTCTATTTATGAATATGTTCTTAAAGTTGTACCTAACTTTGAAAAAGTTACTACAAAAAAAGGACAATGTAATAAAATCCATGAAACCAGTTCCTATCGCTCAAAACTGTTTTCACCTATATTTTGGTTCTCTTTCACATCTTTGGATCAGATTTTTCAGAGCTATCAAGTACCGGTTCTGAATCAGCCAATCAGCTCCTCCTTGTATAAACAATAACTTGTTGTCAAATAAGATAAAACAACCTCTTCTCGTCAGATTAATTCACAACGTTGAAATATTACTTTCTGTTGGGAAAAACTACATGTATTCATGAAACAAACAAAACAAGGTAATCCAGCTTTTATTGTGTACAGAGATTAAATAAAATTCAGATCAATATTTTGGACAGCTTTCTGTTTGAGCCCACCCTTTAGATTACCAATCCATAATCTCAAATCATTTCAACTCACGCATGTCTTCTTACTATGTGCATAATTGTGTTGTTTTCCAGCGTGTGGTGAAAGCCGACATCGTGAACTACAGCCAGGACTCGGTGGCTCGGGCAGTCAACCCCCCACGCAGCTCGATGTGCGCGCTGCAATGACCGCCAACAAAACTCAAAAGCATGACCGAAAGCGGCGAACGGCCCGTCACTGTCGCTCCCCTCTCCTCAGCCGCTGGAGGTGAGATCTGCCAGCGGACGAGAGGGAAAGCAGACTGTGTGCTTTCCAATGCCTGGTCTGTACTCGGGATATTTACCAGGACTGAATTCTTTGGGTGGTTCAAGCTCAAAGTAAACGAAACCTCACTATTTCAAGTTCACGCGCAGCTATTAATTTTGACTATTAATATCTAGGCAGGTGAGTACATGAGTCGTGTGTTGGTATTGCGCTGGCTTTACAGGAAACGCTAAAAAATGCCACTATACATTCCTGTCTGACAGCGGAGAGAGTAGTTTATACCAATCTGAAGGAGATGTTTGAAAAAGCCGTGATTGTATTAATGATTTTGTTCGTGTAAAATCAAGGCTGACTCGGTAATAAATACTGTCTGCTTTAAAAGTATTAAGACATTATCAAGTGATAGCTCTGTATTTAGGGTTTAACCAGCTGCTTCTCGGAATAATCTGCGGCTTAGTGGTTTACCTCTTGTATTGTGCACAAAAAAGTGCTTGGCATAGTGATTTAGGTAGGATTAAGTTGAGTTCACAATATTTCCCAATTAAGGACATTGTTAAAATTGGAAAAAATGTAAATTAGAAGTATACTTCAAGTGATGGAATTGTCCATCTTTCAGAAAATATGTGTTTTGAAACGGAGGTCTCCAACCTATTTTCATACATAGACTGTAAATAGGCCAACTATGCTAACCCCCGATCTCAATAAAGTCCAATAGGGAAGTGCTCATGCATGAAGTTTGGCTCTTATTGACTTAGATTGAAAAGTAAACTCTATATCAGTAACCGTTTGTGTCACACTCACCATTTTTGGCTTAAAAGATCGTTTTTTGCCCTCTCTGGGATCCTGGTGTTTATGTTTTGATATTGTCCTTATGAATCCCTAAATTACCTTTCAGTTGCCTAGATTTGCGTGGGAAACTCCAGCATGCCTTAGCAACCATGTTAGCAACCAGTCTGCCCCTGTTATGGTGCATCGGTAAAAATGCCCATATAAGGAAATTGGCTCCAGCTAGCTTATTTCTCAAATTCTTCTTCAGTGTTTGTCAAACACTATGGTGACATCAGCTTAGTCTGTCCATGCCTGATATAAGGTTTATGGTTTTACACAACAGAAATGGCAGCGCGTCTTTTGCAGTCATTATAAAATTGTAGTCCATAAAATAAAAACAGTAAAATAATATTTACACTGTAGTCTGTTTAAACCTCTTAGTAATTTACTGGTTCCATATCACCCCGTAGCAACACAGAGCATTAGTGTGGTTTAAAGGCACTCTTTGCTTCGTGCCGCTCTAGACGCTCATACAAACTTACCATAATACTGCACAACCCAACATTAGTGAACATAGTAAGTAAGTAGTAAGTAAGCTTTTATTTATATACCGCCTTTTCACTGCACATCGGAGTCTCAAAGCGGTTTACAATTGTTGGGTGGGGGTCGCCAGTACAGGAGGCACATGCCAGACCTATTGTACATATTTTTAGTGGTGGGGGAAACCGGAGCACCCGGAGGAAACCTACGCAGACACGGGGAGAACATGCAAACTCCACTCAGAAAGGCCCTGGTCCGACCGGGATTCGAACCCAGGACCTTCTTGCTGAGAGGCGAGAGTGCTAACCTCTCAGCCACCGTGCCGCCCGCAACATAATGAAAACATATTTCAAATATACACGCAATGACTCAAAGTATAATCATTCAGGATCACGTGTTAGTTGCTAAATCCTTTGTGGAGCTACCTGAAAGGGGCTGGCGAGCTACTGGTTGGAGACCCCGGTTTTAAAACCTTCCATCTCATGCTCTGATACCAAGAGAAGATTCCATTAATATACACACTTTTTGGAAACACTGATTTCCAAAAACAATGTATATGTATACATTGTTTCGTATACAAAATCTTCAGTAGAAAATATGAGGGAGCAAGTCTCAAGGGTAAAACATTCTTCATATGCTCCCACCAGAGGAGGAATTGATTTCCTTTGATTTCTCTCTCAAATTCAAAGAAGATCAGCTGCAAACACAGCAATGTGATTGATTGTGATTGTAAAGAATGTAATTTCAAATTGCCAAAACTCATTTATGGGCAATACTTTTGTTTTAAAGGCAGAGAACTGCTCTTGAGTGTGATGTCATAGTGGTACAATGACAGAGGTTAAGACAGGAATTACATGTTTGTGCCAGAAGTTCTGTCCTCTTGTCTGTTTTTAATGAGAAAAAGCTAACATATTTTTTTGCATGATACGTCTCCTCTGAATGTATTCACTTACAAATGTTTTGGAATTGAGACAATTCAGAGTTACAAAGTTAAAAATAGGTTTCTTAAACCTATTTTTTCAAAGGAATGATGAAAAAACAATAACATGTAGAAAATGTTGCTATTCCAATATGGCCGACATGATGTAGTTTATTTGCCATATATGTGTACAATATGTATTTGTTTAGTCTGTGTATTATAATTATTATCATTACTTGATATTTAATTGTCGCTTTTTTGACTGTATGGAAAAGAGATCACATTTGTGTAGTTACAGCTTTATAAACGCACTCTTTGAAATAAACCTCTCAATGGACAACATTCCCAAACACTTTTTCTGTTGCATTTCAAATCAAAGCTGCAAGAAGGCTCTCGTTTCGTTTTCTTTGTTCGCCGCAGAGAAGTAAATTCCCTTCTGGCCTCAGTTTCATTGCAATTTTTCATCCAATGACAATAAGGAGATACGAAAGAGAAGCAGGCCCTGAAGCAGCTCATCCTGTGGGAACTGCAGCAGGGCTGACGAGGGCACTGCAGATTAAGCATCCGCGTGTTGAAATTCACCCAATAGGCTGAAATCTGACCTGAGATCCCCCTCTATAGACCCACCCGGAGTCTAAGACCGCTAATGAGCCACCTGGCCTTTGTTCAGAACATCCTACTGAAACAGCCCCTAAATCCACTCAAGACAGGTGATACAGATGCCTCCATAAATGCTTGTAAGCTCTGTATTAATGAACCCCTGAACCAGCCCGGCCTGTTGTTGCTCTGCTCAGCGATAAGAGGCTTGTGCATTGGGGATTATTACTGTTAGCAGAGTCACTGACACCACACTCGTGTTTGGGGGGGGGATTAAGAAGGGCACCTGAAACCCAGGGCTGGAAAGATACAGATACAAGGTACAAATACTCACGCTATTGGAATCAAAGGTTTTTGAGAAGGGAGGAGGCGAAAGCATAAGCTTAAAATAAGGTTATTTAACTAATTGTAATAATAATCGAAGGGTCTCAAATATTATTGGATATGCAAAATGAGTCTTGTCCAATTTTGTATGTGAAAAAAAATAATTTTTTTTGGCACTTTTTACCTTGTGGCTTTATGACTATGACTGACTGGTCAGCATGGTGCTGTCCAATGTCCATCACAGTGGTCTGCAGGATGCCCTAGGATCAAGTGTTTGTAATGTTGTCTGACCGTGCCGCCCGAGCTGAGTGTATAGCGCAGCGCAGAAGTTTGCACTTTCTCCCTGAGTCTGTGTAGGTTTCCCCTACCATGTACAATAAGTACGAATGTAATGAGTGAGTGAATGGATAGTGTTGATTGGGGGCTTTGACGCCAGTGTGTTCGACGTCTCGCTTCCGTCATTGCTGTGTGTGGAGAGAATGAAACAATATATGTACTCTGAAAAAAATGCCATATAATAAAGATTACTGCTTTTTACTGATCCTGCAGCTTTGTAGACAGAATCATGATGGAAAGTAAACCATGCTGACCACTCACAGGGTCACTACAAGGTCAAATATTCAAAAATAAAACACACTTTTCCATATAAAGAGAAAAACTACCCTCGGGTTAATATGACCCGCCACAGTAATTAAAAGTAGACCAAATTAAGGTCTAAAAGGGTCTAAATGACCCAGGGCCGATTATTAAAATTCAGCTAGATTTTTTTCATTGAGGGTATTATTGTGCAATGAGGATAGCACAAGGGTTAAGGCTTGTGCAACTTTCTGGATGTGGAAAATCAGCTGCACAATTCCATGAGTAAAAGGTGAAAACCATATAGAACATGTTGAAACATTGCCATATATTTCACAATTTTATTCTGAACAGAACACAACACTGCCAGTCTTCTATCTATCTAAAAGCTACAGCAGCAGCTTAAGTACTGTATAAGTACTGATTAATCAAAAGACTAATCAGCCAAAAATACTGGCACTACATTGATTTAGTTTGTTGACTCATCTCATGCCTTTTCGAGTTCTCCTTCCTTTTAATTGCCCCTCGGGGATAAATAAAGTGATTGATTGATTGACCCATCGATTGTTTGCCCTGCCCCAATTGGGTTTACATGTTACCCTGTGGATTTATACCTTGTGGATTTATACCCTGTGGATTTATACCCTGTGGATTTTTACCCTGTGGATTTATACCCTGTGCGTTTCCCCTCTTGTTTTCGATCCATCGTGTTTCCCCACGTCTTGTTCCTGTTTTTTAGTTTGGAGTTCTGTTTTGATTATGATCCTGGATTAGTTTTTTTTTTCTTTAAATTGCACTTATGTTTGCAGTCCTGCATTTTTGTTCCAGAAAATGCAGTTTGTAGTTTCAAACTTGTGTTTTTCCCTATGCTGCTTTTATGTCACAGCCTGAGTCCTGGATCTCCAGCCGGTCCGTCCATGGGAGCGGATCCCTCCCTCAATGTGGGCCTCCCAGAGGTTTGTCACTTTTTTTCCCACTGGGTTTTTTTGAGTCCTTGCTGATGTAGGAGGGTCTAATGACAGTGATGTCATCGGGCATTTAACAACATTTATGGACATCTATTCATGTTTTTGATCATTGGTCATCCACCCCTTTTGGCCCGATGGCTCTGTGTGTTTGTTTTTGTTGCATTTCCCGTGTTTGAACTGGTTGATTCTCTGAATCGACAACTTTGTAAAGTCTTAAGAGATGACTACTGTTCTGATTTAGGGCTATACAAAAATACATTCATGTGTTGTCTATCAACCCTGTATCTGGTATAGTATAACAATAACAATAAATCTCTGCTGGTCTATGTGACTTGAATATTATCTCTCAGAACCATACTTCTTTCTCTATTTTGGTTTGTGTAACTGTCCATTTACTCAATTTGTCACCTCTGAAACCTCACAGACAAGTCGAACAAAGAATTGTGTTACTCCAATATTCGTCCAGGTGTGCCGCTGCCAGCCCCGCCACAGACGAGCCGAGGGGTCATTCCTACACACGTGCACTGTCTCGCTTGGCTGGACGTCTTAGGGATTGTCTCGGCAGATTTTTTTGTTGGGACCTGTCACCATTGCTGACAAGCGAGACGTGCCCTTGGCTTCGCTGCTGTTTAGACAGGTGTTTTTGCAAAGAAAACAACGGCAGGTCGATTCCAGCTTACAACACAGACGGAAGGAAAGAGTATTATGCGAGGGCGAGTCTTGTGACAGTCTAGTACGGGACAGTCTGTCACAAGAATTTGTCAAACTGTCCTCAAATATGAATTGTGTTTTAACTTTTTTTCATGTAGCATTTAGAGTAGCGGCCTCCAAGCCTTGCCACTTTAGTTCAACAGACCTGTCCAGGGGCCGACAACCCGGATTGAAAAACTGTTTTTAATGGATTGTGGCTGTTCTGACATAGCTGAAGTTGGCTGAATGACAAATTACCATCTCACCTGCTCTATTAATGCCAATCAAGAAAAAAAACAAATGTCAGTATATACAAATGAAGTAAACTGCTAAATTAGGTTGTGAGCGTTACAACAAAAATATATCAGGCCTATATTGACTAAGCTGAAGTTGGCTGGATGACACTTGATCTCAAAGAAAGTTAAGCAAGGCACAGGGCCACATACTATTCCACAGAAGGACATGATGTACATTTTATACCAGTTGTAATGCCTCTGTTGTTTCTAAGATACAAGGAGACCTAATAACTCCACACACAAAGAGTTCAAGGGACATTGAGGACAGAGATGGGGAATTTACAAAATCGGGTTAATTCACTTAAACAAGGCTTGTTAAAATGTTTCAGTATTTCATATGAAGTCAATATTGAACATGTTGTTATGCCAGGCTCACGTGGATCAAGGCAGAGATCGAGTTGGGGTTTGGCGCTTGGAGTGGCTGCAGTGCAAAACTGAAAGGCCTTGCAGCAGATATTAGAATGTCATATTTCTTAAATAGCTTTTACCTTCTCAAGTGCTGGAAATGTCATTAATATATCTAAACAAAGTCCTCTCAGAGTAAGAAAATAACAAGGACATGTTTTTTTCTGTTATTTTTGTATATATTTTTTGTAAAACTAATGTCGTTTTCTGCTCATCTTTCCTGTATCAGGGCTTCTCATCAATGTGTGATGACAGTGGAATAAGCTCCCAGGACAAGCTGGTACGAGGGAAGCGGTTGTGGGTAGAGTTTGTGCTCAGTAAAGAGACAGAGCAGGGCCAACAGCCGCATGATGATTCTCACACTTCCATTTTCCACCTGCTCGGAGCCAAATCTTCCGCATCTTGAGGCAAACTGCGCTGGGCCGTGTCGTTTGATGAGCTGCAGTACTCTGGCTCCCGCTGTGTTCGGCAATACAACTTTGAGACTGCGGAAAATACTGATTTAACAGATTGGGAGTTTAAGGACATTAATTAACATTTATGGACCTGTGTTTTTTATCATTGCATTTCCTGTTTGATTCTCTGATTTGTGTTTGTGAATTGTCAACTTTGTAAAGTTCTCTGAGATTACTGCAGTTGTAATTTAGGGTTATATAAAAATAAATTGAAATTATTTATTTCTTATTCTTGTACACCGATTGTGTTTACAATTTTACCAATGCGGTTGTTAATGAAACTTATAGCATAAATAAATTTACAAATACATTTTAAACTTTATTTGTCTTTAGTCTTTGTTGTTAGTTTTGGCCTTTGCGTCCTGCTGCTCTCTTGGAGGTTTTGGAGGTATCTTTTCTGACACCTCCTTAAAACCCAAAAAGTCAGAAGGATCGTGAGGCCCCGCTTTCACGGTCTGTATTCATACTGAAAATCAAGATCAAGCGAGCTTTTGCCCTTCTGCTCCACGGGAGGTTTCTGTCGAGCTCAGGGAGGACAGATATTTTTTATTTCTTTATAAAATATTTAATTTATCAAAAATAATATTTATACTAGGGCTGTCAAAATTACCACGGTAACGCACGTTGATTAATTTTTTTATTAATTCCGTTAAAAAAATTAACGCATTTGACGCATGTACCAAATGATTGGCCATAGGGCTCAACAGGCAATGCCCAGATGTGGGCCGGTCTACCTGCTTCATACAAAAAAAAACATTTGTGTGAACTGTGTAAATACGTTAACAAATGTTAGAGGGGGTGCGCGTGACCGTGGGGCACTCGCTGTTGTTTGCTATGAACTCAAATGGGAGTTCGCATCCTCCATGGCCGCAGCGTTCTGAACCGGGGAAGCTGTGGCTGCTCTGGACAGCGGTTCCCACCTCCAGCGGCTGTGAGCCGCTTTGTCAACGACACAGCGAATGGCGCTATATCGTAACGTGATCCGAGACCACACACACACAGAACTCTTCTCTACTTGTTATGTGTGTGTCTTTACGTAACCTGTGCATGCAATAAATGTATCTCTGAAGCTGGACTATGGAACCTCGGAAAGTGTCCGTGTCTCCTTGCAGCTAAACTTGCTAAATTAAAGCTCGGGTACCTAATTTTTCCCTTACTCGACCAGTTCATGTTGGTTGTGCCCATATCAAACAGATTTAATGACAGCCATTGGCTGACATTATGAATTTCAGACTTTTTTGAAAAGTCTGAAATCATCCCTGTGACAAACATCAGTTTTTAGAGGCGCAATTATGAAAAGTCTCCACAGCTTTTATGAGACAGAGAAACAGAAGAAAGAGGAGGCTTTAGTAGTTGCGCTGAAAAAATACAGTCTACTACAGAAAGACAGAATGTTAATAATATTAGTGCCATTTTATGTGGATTGTTGTTATAATTAACAAATACAGTACATATGTACACTATGTTGTCATTTATCTTTCCATTCAAACAACCATTTACAGAAAAATATGGCATTTTTTTGCCTAGAGTTTGAAATGCATTTCATTACAATGAATACATTTTTAAGCTGTAAGTAACTTGATTAAAAATGTTTTATCATTTGACAGCCCTAATATATATATATATATATATATATTATATATATATATATATATATATATTATATATATAATATATATTATAGGGCTGTCCAAAATAGCGCGTTATTAACGCGTTAACGCAAATCAATATTAACGCCGTCATTTTTTTTATCGCGCGATAAAAAAAAAAAATTAAAAAAAAAATTTTTTTTTTTTTTTTTTTTTACTTTTTATTGCAGACAAACACATAGAAACAAAGAAAAGGACTAGTTCAGATACATTGTAGACAGAGATTACAAACAATATGTAGTTGGAGATACAGGGGGCCAAAGAAGAAACCCAGAAGGGCACATAGGAGGGGAGGGACATGAAGTGGGAGATGGGGGGAGGGGTTAATAAAAAAGGCAATACAAGCAAACAGTATACAGTCATAGATATACCGAAGGTAAACAGAGAAACAGCATAGAGTATTTACATGAACAAATTTATAAAATATTTACAGATTGTTTATCATCATCATAATGACACCATGATGTTTCTATACAGTCTATGGTCTATACCCACACATACACACACACACCCACACACACACATTGAAGGGGCTTTTTGTTACCAATTATTTATTTTGTCATCCATTTATTGATGATTTTGCATCAAATGTTAGTGTGTAATATAACACTACACATTGTTTTCAATAAAAAAAGCAATTGCACACAGCACGCAAATGTGTGACTAATTTGCGATTAATCGCGAGTTAACTATGAAATTCATGCGATTAATCGCGATTAAATATTTTAATCGTTAGACAGCACTAATATATATATATATATAATATATTATAAAATATTATATATATATATATATATATATATATATATATATATAATATATATATATAATATATATATATATTATATATATAATATATATATATAATATATATATATAAATTGTATATATATTATAAATATCAACATAATAATTATGACAAATCAGTGATCATCTTCACTAGATTAGTGAAGACAATGAAATGAATGAATAATTATTGTTTTTGAAAAGTGCTATACAAATAAAGTATTATTATTGTGTATTATTATTGTTAATATTAAAATTGATATGTAAGGACTTAAAGTAGATCATTCAGGATGTTAAATTCCTGCATCCTTTGGGGAGATACCTGAAATTATGGATTTTTCATAACTTCTGTACCAGCCTCTGTTTAGCACATAGACCGTCAAACCTTTTTTTATTTATTTATTTTATTATTATTATTATTTATTTTTTGTATCCAATCAATCGTATATACATTAAACTGTAAACATCAGGAAAAAATATATAAAATTAGCTTCAAACAATTATATAGATGCATGATAAATAATAAATATAGATAATGAAATACTAACATAGGCCATAATGTAGCCTCCAAAACACCACCTAAAACATGTGTCACGTGGTGGAAAGGAGGAAGGACCCAAAACAAGAATGATTCAATAATGATGACAAAATAAAAGTCCAGGGAAAAAAAACGAAAAACCAGGAAAGACAATGGACGAGGAACAAATGGGGAAGAGCACAGGTGAATCCACTGGAGGAATGCTAACGTTTTGAAAAATGCTAATGAAGCCCTTTGCATTTTAATTTGGACTAGAGCAGAGAAATAGGTCCGAACCAAGCGGCTTCTCCACCTCTGCTGCTTTGACCTGAAGGGCTTTTACTGATTGTTATATTTTTAGAAAGATCAATTTTATTTCTTATTTTTGTTGCTATTGGACACCTGAATTTCTCCTACGGGGATCAATCAAGTATCTATTTTGATCCGTGCTGATGAGTGTGTTACTCCCTGTCCTGTGGGGGCATACCAGAAAGCATCACCGCCTGCTGTCTCTTTAAAACTGTGATTTAGGAAGTCTCTTGTTTGGTTCTTTCGTGGGATTAGCATTATTCTCGCAGTGCAGCGTCTGCTTCAGCTCAAAGGCCCCGAGATTTATTTTGGGTGGAAGGATGTGGCTGTCCAGAGGGTCGTATTTATAGCGCACCGGTCGGCCGAGAAGCGGTGCCAGTAAAAGCAGAGAATCTGAACGAGTGGGGACACAAAACTCCAAGTCTCTTTAGAGCGCATGGATGAGTGCTGTTTTCACTGGGCTGTACTCTGTAGCACTTACAGCCACACAGGCCTTGTATCAGATTGTCCACACAGCTGCAGATGAAATATGACTGTAGGCTCGTTCCTATCCCTTTACTGCTCACTTATTTGGCCACATAAGAGAGAAAAGATAAAGATAAAGACGGTGATTATGGGGCAGATGGAGACAGATTTATCATGAGTGGGATGTTTTTATCAATTCAACTTTTTCTAATGTATACCAATGTGGTTTTATTGCAAATGACAAATATGATTAATCTGAATCTGATTCAGAAAATGGCATGTACAGCAGAATAAAAATAAATGTGTTTTGCAATAACGAGGTAGTGAACAGATGTATTGTCAGAAAGTATTCATAATTATCATTAAGGTTCTATCAGTGTTTGTTTGAGAAGAAGAAGAGGACATCACGCTGAGGGGCAGGAGCAGGACTGAGGGCTACAGGAAGACCGCTTTATTCCCCTCTCATGTGATGGGGAACTCAGTGTTTGGGAATGATCCTACATAAAAGATTCCCAGGTTGTTATTCCCCTGATCGGGTCCTATGGAAAACCGGTGTCCATAAGGTACTTGCCAAACTAGGCACCAGCTGTCCCATGGAAAATTGGTCCTTAAGGCAGGGCCGTGTTTTTAAGGAGCATTTTTTCATGGGACAGCTGGTGCCCGGACAGGCTGAGCTCTACGGGACAACGTGGACACACTTTGTTGTGGGCTCCATGAGGGTGAACTGGTGGTTGAAGCCTGCTGCCTCAGCAACCTGGCTCTGGATTAAGTGGAAGAAATGATTAATACAAAATATTTTTTTTTATGTCAAACTCTTTTCAATGATTATGTTCTATTAAACAATAACCATTTAAACATATTTTGTGATTTGTGATTACATTATTCAGAACATTTTGTTTTTGTTTAATTTGGTTTTTTGATGTTTTAGCTATTTGTTGTTGGATCGCAATTATATTGTTTCTCAGGAAATCAAAATACTGAGGAATAATTTTAGGAACTTTGAAAATAAATGATTTATCGGGAAGGGGCGAGAGCAAATAGATACAGCAATTTAAAACACTAGTGCACACACCATTTTAGATTCAAACTAAAAGCATAAAAGGAAACGTGTCACAGGCCGTAGCTCTACAGCATAGGAATGTCTTAAAAGCATGTGTGATTGAAATGTGTCTGTAAAGATAGTTTAATTATTATACAGAGCTGAATAAAGTAAATGACCGCCCGC